TCACGTAGCCCAAAATGCGTGAACCACGCACATAACGCATTCACTTTCTAACACGATCCATTACTTGTGATCCACTAGAGAGTTTCACTTTACATCTACTGGGTAACTGCTTCAATGTTCATGGACTACCTTCCCTCCTTTGTAAAGGCCCTACGGCCGTTTTACATTGGGCAGCAGTTACGGTGACGAGCAAACCTATAGCCCAATTGACTACAAAATTTGCTTGTTCTACGATTACAGCGGGTGGAAATCTAACTAGGATTGGAAATTGAAATGAAGGAAAAAATTTACTGCTGGCTTTTGAAAAGTTAATTTGTATCATGAATTTTTTAAACCAGATTTGTTGGGTTATGCATACGAAGTGTTCTTTGTGTTACTGTTTTTCGAGTGTTTTAAAGGTATTATAGTCGACGCCAGTTATCATTAAATGCGCGTGTTTTCTACTATCTCCCTTGATTTATTGAGATTGAAATTAGTTAGTTAAAACATTTGCTGGATCATAACAATTAGGTTAAGACTATAACAATACCTGTAGTAAATGATGGTTTTAAAACGAAACTTCGAACACTCTGAATCACCATTATTACCACTGGACAATAACTTCTGTCTTTTCGATTATTGAACAAAAAGAACGTCTTCAGGCACCGACATCGTGTCTGTCAAATCGGCCGTTTCACAGACACGATACTGCCGAGAAATGAATAGCATACCAGACCTAATAATGATACAAATCAATGCAGTCATAACATCTTCAACATAAAAATCGTATTACACTTTGGGTATATACGGTCAAAAAGTATCTTTTGCCGTGACTTGTACGCTCCTAATCATTACTACATCTAAAAAGTAGTTGTGCATCTGAGATTTACTCAAGTCTTCAGATAGTTTTTTTCTTAATTAATTTTGTTTTAGCAATGCTTAAGGTCTACTTAAAACAATACTAAATTGTTCTACGAATCTGCCGAACGGGGCCCTCGAAAGCTGCAGTGGACAGTGAATATGAAAAAAATTTGGCAATCACTTTCACGATATTTGACGGGAAATTATATTCGATAGCAAAGTGTTGTTATTTCGAGGTCACTTCGACTGGTAAAAGCATCAATTGTGGCCATTGTGTGTGATAGCCCGAAAACAGTCGTTGGTGAACTCAAATAATCGGCAGCAGCAAATTAATTTTTGCATTTAAACACTCATTTTGCTGTTGCTGCCTATCAAAAGTCACTAAAATGTAATCATGTAAAACAGTTCATTCAACTGAAACCTGCTTTGTACTTGTTATTCATGCCTTACGTGGGTTTACATCAGATAGTTTCTGCGAAAAATTGAGACTAGGATTTATTTATTTTATAATTTCTAGCCTACTGGTCGTTCTGGCTAATGAGCAAGCAAGACGACCTCAAATTTAGGCGGACCTACCTAAAAAATACGAGGCGTATTTTTGAATTTTGATAGTTGATCCTCATTTGTCATGTTTCCTCAATGTATTGACTATGTAATATGACGCGCATTTGCACTTTGTGCAATTATTAGAGTATTCCCAACTTGTATGTTGCACAGGCAAACTGTGAACTAACTGAGATCTCTCGTTTGAACAACAAGCACGACATCAAAGGGATGAACATCGATTGCAGCTGCAAACATTCGATTCCAAATTTATCAATAAACGTGCTGGATCTGGTCTCAGGTGACCGGAAAGCATCAGTAAACAACAGACACACAAAACGTGAGCCACTAAAGGCTCTACAATTACACGGTGCTGCCAGTAAAGGCGAAATCGTGGGACTAAACGGCTGTGTGAACATTTAGAATTTGGCATTAAACCCTAAATCTAGAGACAAAGGCTATGTGCAACAGTATAATACAATCTGATTAATAGTCGAATGAAATTGCGAAAATGGAAATCCCTCTCGTACGAGCGTAAGTGTGTAAATCCGAGTAGAAATTCTGATTTTAAAATAACTAGCAAATTTCGCCGACAGGCATTAAGCTGGAGCATAAAAGTGCGGCATAGCTGGTGTCCAAATCCTAGCACTTACTTCGAAGCGTAAGGTCCTGTGAAAAACGCTAGGAGCTTTAATGATGTGTTCTGCAGGTTTCCGTGTGAAGGTTTTGATTAATTAACTCTGTACACTATTATCTAATAGTTGTGAACCAATTTGCTTCAATTATTACTTGGGGTATGAAGGGTTGTAAGACTGTCATAAATTTAAAGGCTTAAAGCATGTCGAAATAAGTTTCTAATTGTATAAAAATTATATCACTTATATACGCAGATGTGCGAAAAACCCAGGTTGTTACTATGAAGACAACAGCACTGATTTCGATGATAAAGTTGAGTGCTTTAGCAGATAAAGGTGGAGAATATGCAAGTAAATCATGCAGCAATCGATTCACTTTCACAAGAGCGCCTGGGTTACTAAACACAGACTGTGACGACTGATTACGGGAAAAGGTTTCTAGTCTTGAAAATACCGACTGAATCATTCTCATTTTTAGTTCACCAAAGGTTATTCCCGTGTACAATGGTAAGAAATCTTTTGAAAAATGGAACATTAAAGGTCGTCTACGAGTTGACACAGACTAAGGTGGTAACCAAAGACGTGAGGCCTCATTAAGGAGCTGCACATAAGCATTCGTGTAAATGTTATAAAGTACGGAGAATTTATAACATTAATATCATGTTAAAAAATAATTTTGGTTTTCTAAAATGCCCACTCGGTGAGCAGAGCCATTCTGAAAGCGTTTATCACCATGGGTCGGGAGAAGTCACTGAATTTTACAAAGGAGTGACACCGGTTGTTCTCTGATACAGACTATAGAACTCACCGTACGACCTGGCTGAGTTTGGCCATCAGTCCGGCGATGCGCTTGGTGGCGGCAATCAGCTCGTTGTCGCGACTCGACCAAAGCCGCGCCTCCTGATGCAGTGCATGCGCAGCAGCCTGAAGGGACACAGTCGAGGGGCAAAAATGATGCGAGTTTGGTCAATTTGGCAAAACTTTGTTTTTATATTCTTTAAAATAATTTCTAAAATAGCTCGTTTAGAATATATCTCATCGGAAGCTTGAAGTTTGTATGAGAGGTAAATTAAGGGGCCGTAACTATTCGATCTTGGGGCAGTATGTGCCTATTGGTTAAGTGTTGCTGAATAAAAGTAGGTGGATGGACTGACATAATATGGAATGGATCTACACAGAAAGAGGGCGATTCACAACAATGAAATATCTATGGGTTGAGGCAAGCGCTCCCACAATAGACTCCAAATTAAAATTTCAAATAAATAATTGCGACACGATACGACAACCGACAAATCATGGGATATGTTAAGTGGAGGGTATTTTGCTAGGTGGTATACAACTTATTACTTTGTTCAGTCTACAAATATTTCCTCGATATTGATATTCACAATAAAGCAAGATCATACAATAGAAGATCAGCATACCATAATTGGCTGATTTTCCTCTGGCATGGGATAGTTGAATTCATCCTCAATGTCTGTTTCAGGGGAAAGAGGACGGGAATTGTCGTCACTTCGACCACAGGAAGGCCCACCTACGAGTAGACAGTGCACATGATCGCAGTTGCAACTTATAACAGACGATAATTGTGCTCACAAGAAGCTGGCCCCCAAAGTACAAAAAGATTACACAAAAGTATTTTCTTTCCGGAGATTGAAAAAAGGCTACTTGAAATGTATTGCGGTATCTCTGGGACGAGCAAGCATGACAATGCATACAGCTTGCTACTGTGGGGTATGCGACGCATCAAAGTAGGGAAAAATAAGTGCACTACAATTTACAACAGCATACAGCGAGTGGTTCCCCGAGTGAATCTCATGTCATGTCAATCAGCAACTGATTAGAATGTGAAGCGAACTGGGACTGACCGCGTGGATGTTCTAGCAGCACCAAACCAAGGACGGGGTTTGTCAGTTACACTTACACACACAGCGAGACGTTTTGATTGGCCGTAAAACCAATACAGGGGATCGTATACAAGAGCATTTGGATTTTTTATTCAAGCTCCGAATTTTGATTAGGGCCGGTAGAGAAGAGTCCTTGAGAAATATGCGGTTAAGTAGGGATGCAATAACTAGACCATGTGAGGCAAAGTCAGATTATATATGTAGGCGCCGTCGAGTAAGATTTGGTTTTTCATGCGATTTCCCCGGGGTGTGTCCACGTGAATGGGAAGACTCCGTTTTTAACGAACGAACATTTTGGAGCTAACGGGAACGGACTGGGATTGGAATGAAGAGGCATCGACACCACTACCACTTTCAACGCCGCACCCGTTTATCATGTGGGAGGAGGCGATACCTGGTAGAAGGGCTGCAAATAAAGCAGGTAGCCTGTGGCAAGGTTGGACTGTAAAAGGTCCACCTGGACCGTTTCCTTTCATACTAAGTTGACCTAAGTGGAGCAGCTTTGTCCGCAGTCTCCAGATCTGGGCTTTTTTTCTAAGAGGCAACTGAATATTCTAGCAATTAATTGGTCTACTGTCACAGCCAAAGTTAATGCATTGATATAAAAATTTTGCCAAAGCAATTTTTTGTGCAAAATGTGGTTTGGAGTCTCGTTTAAAACATTATTTTGAGATAAAATTAAAGCTTTTTGATACATTGGTATTGCTTGAATTATTTCAAATACAAGGTTAATTTGTCGGGTAAAGCTTCTTTGAAATTTAACGCACATTTTAGCAGTAAAGACAATTTATGACCACCGCTGCAGTGTAAAATACCCAGAATTACAGTAAATTGATGCCATCGACGCACACTGAATCAAACTGGTTTGACCAGGGGTTAAAAGAGAGGCGCCCAAACTTCTAACTGGTCTTGAATGAAAACAAATAGAGCACCAAGCTGAAGAGTCAATTTTACTTGAATAATCAAGGGACACCCTTTTCCAAGCCTTTCAGACCAAAATGTAGCCCAAGTATAAGACTTACAAACTTCGCTATTTTTTCAATCAACAGCACTAGCCATCCAAAAATCACAGTGCAAAAAAGTGTACATTGAAAACCCCTAGACGTATTGAACCACAGATAAAATTTCATTAAGTAGTATAGTGCCTCTCGTTGACCTCTTACATCACGATTACCAACATCCGTAGTCGGCGTTTTGAGCGCTTCACGAAGCCCTGTGGCGCCGTATTAGACCGCCCTGTCTGGATGTGTGGGCATGACTCATTTGTGCGGACGCCAAGCCTCTCGGCGTGGCACGAGGAGCGCCGCCGTCTCTGCCCGGCCCCTGCTGTACAGCGAAAGGGGTGCGTGCGCACGCGCGCAATGAACGGCACAAATTGCGTGAAACTAGGGCCTATGAAAGTGCCATGTGTCTAGGAGGAACGGCACTTGCTGAGCTCTGACTGGAAATTACAGTCACGATTCTGGTGCACACCACTCCACCACACTAGGCAGGAACCCTATTCGCAGTTTAAGAGGCGAGGGCGACACACCCAAACAAACAGCGAAGGCTTCCAGAAGTGTCACGGCGTATGACCATTGCTTTCGTGTGAGTGATTTTAACAGGATACAACAAATGATTGTAAGAATGTATATAGAAAGTAACAGTACGTTGGAAAAATTGCTAGGGGTCGATAATCGTCCCAAAATATGCGATTTCCGCACATTGATTCAAGCGATAAACCAGGAGTACAAAGATAAGTGATTTATGCAGTTTATGGTCTTCCAAATAAGCTGTTTTACGTCCTTTGGCAGTAAGCTAGGAAAAATCAAAGCACCTAGTACAGCACATGTGCAAAACATACATATTGAAGTCGGAGAAGACGAACTCGAGTTTCGAGTAACCGATCAAGCGAAATAACATTGATAACAATACTACGTGGTTTACGTTCTGTTCCCTAAATTTCCATAAAGCTCATAGGAAATGAGAGAGCGGACTTGAATAATGCTAATTTTCGAGTCCGAAATTTATCTAACAGTGACTAAAAGGCATTTTGGTACACAGCAGTGCTTATAAATCCTTAAATTAACCAACGTATTACCACTGCCAGTACAACCTATCCTAAGAATTGTGCATTCGAAATAACAAGAACCATACTGCTTTCCACACAAATGACTTTTGCGAGCATTCACATACTTCTACACACACAGTGAATAAACCCATCTGTTATTGTAAGGAAAATATGCGAAAACGTCACCGTCGCGTAAAGGTCATCGAACAGGACGTGTGAACGACCATCAAATGACTAGACGTTGCTGAACCTCGAAGCAAAACGCCTACCCAAGAATTCATTTACTAATGTCCAGGGCTGTTCTGTTTTAGTCACTGTTTTGTCTCAGACATAATTTTAAAATCCAAAATTATATTATGTAACTCCTTTGTTATCCAAAATTCTAGTAACCATACACTTAGCTCATCCACATGGTTGTAAAGCAGGCAGGATTAACAGTTAACCAGCTAGAACGACAATCGTTGCAATCTAGCTACCGGAAAAAGTCAAAGACTACCGGAGAGCTTAAACAGACCTACATCCCATCACGTCCAAACCGCAATCAAGAGCGACACTCTTGTGGATGGGCATTTTGATATTCTTATCAATATCAGTTCCTTGTATTTAATGTTGCAGGGTGATTTATGCCCCCACTAACGGGACAACCAATCAAACTAGATCACTGTGTATAACATACACTGTACAGTAGGTACAAAGGTACTACCACTAGGAGACAACGATTGTTTGAACCATAACTTCATGGAGGGCCATCGTGTAACTTCCGCATTTCAATTAAGAACTATCTTACCGTTTATTTTCTGCGACTATTTCCAACCTTCCGTCGTATTTCGGCTAAGTACATAAGCCTTTGTCCGCGTACTGAATTGGTACGGTATTTACATGTACTATTTGGCGTGTATCGTATCAACCTCTGAACATTTTGGTCGGGATTACTTGCAACGAATCGGATGTAGCCCTTAAGTATGCATGGTTCTACTGACAAGGCCATACGTCAAACGGTGATTTACACATTGAAGTGACAGTCCACCGACGATTACTCACGGTCACATGCACGGTAACCATGCGCACAGTTATTTTTCTAAAAAAAGAGCAGAATACATGGATTGACGACTAAAGAAACAGTAGTATCCATCGTAACCCGCCACTTTCATATTTCCTGGGCAAAAATGTTTAGAGGACCACATTCCCATAAGCTCATCGGATTTATAGAATTGAACCATGGATAACATCGCTTTTAACTTAGAGAGAGCTAATGGACACAAGCTTGTATTGAGGCCAAAGCGATACTGGAAGCTCGATCCCCGAGGTAAACATAGCAAACCAGACAAAAATACCTTGCACATGAAGCTGCCGCATCTCTGCGACGGGAATCTCGTCAGAGACACCGAATTTGCTTCCCACAAGACCGTTAACTTTATGGTGGTAAGCATAGGAGGGAGGGATTGTGGTTGACACGAAAGGATGAAGGTAGGATGGCGCAACCACCTGGCCTACGTTGGAAACGGCCTCAACCAGGTTTCTGCTAGACACCCGCCAGTGCTCACGAGCATCTGGATTGTCCATCGCCAGGACCATTTTCTTAGTATCAGCTACCATTGGAGTAATCGCTGCAACGGCAAGATAAGCAACTTGGTAAGCAAAATGTCCATTGTCTGTGACCTTTTCGCACAAGCATGAACCGAACGACTAATCGTAGATTGTAGAATTGCTCATTTTACCGAAAGGGTAATAATTTATCAAAATGCACAATAAGTACAAGCGCAATGAAAAGGCCAAGCAATTTACTTGCTCGTAACCATTGTGCGGCTTCATTTACGCGGTCAACATAGATGGGATCCTCGCTGTTCACAGTTTCTCGCATCGCGACTTGCAGAACACGATTCGCCCGCAGAGCAATGCTAGTGGTTCCGTTCACAACGGAGGTGAGGCAATGCTGATCCACACTGTCCTCGATTCGATCGGTCTCCTTCAATATCCCGGTTTCTAAAAAGAACCAAAATGAATTAGATAAGATCGGAATTACGCAAGGGTAAAACAGATGTATAACAATTAAACCAGAGAACCAAAGGACTAAGTAATGAAGCGAAAAAGGCGAGACTCCCCGCAGCGTGATTCTGTCCACCAACGTTAGGAAACAGGCACCTCTGGACGCTTAACACACTTGTTCTAGTTATTACACTAACTTTTAGTGCTTAATTTCACGAATCTTTTCCTATACAAAGCAGTGGATATTAAAATCCACATAAAATTTAAAATGTGTGCGTGTAAAGATTGGGTTATTAGGTTGAAACGTAGAAGTAGGGGATAAACTTGTAAACCTATCTATTATACATGCCTTGTAGTACTATATTAAAATAAAGGCGATTTAAACTGTTCCTGTTTCGATCAGACTAAATTCAATACAAAGGCGAGTGACCGACTGATTTTATACTGCTAGGTGATTCAACAAACAAAGTTGCTTAAAATTGACAAAAGATAATAAAGTGATGCGCGCCATGGTCTTGCGGTGGCCAGAAGTAGAAAAAAATGCCTTACAAATAGATACTTTAATGACAATTAGAACAAGTAAAGCACAAAGTAGTTAGTATGAGGCACAGGGAAAAGAAGAGTACCATATTTTTTTAAAGAATATACGGATCTGGGAAACACGGAAACAATAGTCTAGTCCGAATTCTCATTTAACAGAGCGCGCATCGTTCAGTCGCAGTGAATTGGCTTCATGACCAATCTGGTTTTTAAAGAACAACAAGCCACTTAAATTTGAGGTGTGATGTTCGCAGTAAGGGATCGAAACAAAAGCAAAATAACTAAAAGCGAGGTTACTTAGGTTGGGGGAAGCACAACATACCCTGAGCCTTGATGAAGGCTTTGGCGTCGATAGCCTCGTCGACCAGGTTTCTGGTTCGCTCAGCACACTCAGTCCAGTGCTTCTTGACCAAGTCGAAGTGGTCAGATGCGGCATTCTGTAGTTGGGCGCTAGCTCCATTTTGGCGGGCTGACATCACCGCCCGGCCGGCCATACTCACCTGACTGCCAACGCTTTCGAGGTTTGAAGCGAGGGCCTGAAGTACATTGCCTCGCCAGGGATCAATGAGGTTGTTAGCTGCCAGGTTTGCAGTTCGCTTCACGCGCCTTGAATGCTCCTACAAAGACGAGCACGCGTCTAACAATAGGTGAATTGGGCAAGCAAAGTTGGCGTTTTTGGTGGTGGTAGTCTGGGCTGCGTTGATGCGTTTTTAGTGCACCTGGCCTGGCCTTCTAGACGCCGAGCAACAGTGGGTTTGAAAAAAAAGAATTTGTCAAACAATGGATATAACTTGCAAAAACGGTCTGTACCATAAACAAGGTCTACCAAACTTAGCTACTGCAACTGAAGTAGAGGTAAAAACCAACGTTTTTTATCGCAATCTAGGCGAGTAAAACCTGGTTGTGAGGTACTCTCTAAAACGAATATGTACAGCTCTACACACTGAAGCATCGGGAAAAGAGGAACTGGCCTGTCACAACGTTTACAAGGATGAGTGGACGCACCTATGGGGCTCAAAATAATTCACATAGGTCTAAATAAAGTATGTTGCATGGATTAATGAACAACAAATAATGGCAAAATGTTCAACACGTTGACAGAGGCAGCAAAGTTGGTAGTACATTTAAAACTTGGCTTTAATGCCCAAAAACCACCTTTGAATATGTCCTCCGTGGACAACCTCACATGATGAGTGCCATGCTTTTAATTTTTGAGGGTGTCAAATGAAGCGCAGATTACTCAAAAAAGCTGGCAGAGACCACAGGTGCGCGGTAAACATGGGAAATTACTATTAGCCGAAGCGACCCGCACTGTGTGGCCTTTATATTTTGTGCCAACTCACAACCTTCTTGAAGGCAAGCAAGTTGGTGGGACGTGGGGCTGTAAAAAGCAGTTTATAAAAGAGATAAAGAATGGAACCCACAAGAAAAGTGTCGGCCGCCTGTTGATAGGCGGTCTCGTCGGCGGGAACTATGGTGGTTGTTTCTTGAAGATTTTTGATGGGACCAACGAGGTCTGTAAAGTAGTCAGCAACCTGTCGAACTAAACCATGCTGCAGATTGTGCCACATAACGTCTAGAGTTTGAGCCGCTTGGTTGGCCAAATCTCGTTCCTGCCTGCCCTGCATTTCAGAGGCTAGAGATGAAAAAGCAGCATAAACTCGATTAAGAAACTGTTCTCCATGGGCGTCTTAATCTGAGGTAACTACACACGTTTGAATTACCGTTCTTTACTACAAAAGGAGATTACTGGGACCAAGTCGCACCACCAATTATAAAATTTTAAACCAGAGCCAATAAAAGAAAAAGAACTAAAAAATTGATGGAAAGACCCGTTTATTCAAACCGAACGTATTAATATAGGTGACGAAAGAAACATGGTGTTCCGAAACCTTGACCAAAACAAAAGTGTTTCATGTAAAATTGCTGGAGCTGACCTCAACTAGTAAACTTAGCGTGTTGACGACGGACAATGAAGACCATGGGTCACACAAACGCCTACATTCACAACACTCAAGCATCAAAAATCAAATTAAAGGATCACAATTAGAAAATGCTTTAAAAAAATTTGCGTAATTTTCAAACTCCAAACAAAAAGCAAACCCATGGAGCGGTCCAAAAATTGCAAAAATACAACTTAGGAAGATGGACCAAAACCAAAATGTAACACAATCATAAACATACGTACACGGGAAAAATTTGGTACAAACTGTAGTCCCGATATGTAATTTAGAAAAACCATATTTTGTTACGAATATTTATTGCATTAACACTACTGACGACACTAAAGTTCAATGCGTGAAAAGTGAATAGACCACTTGAAGTAAAAAAAGGGCGAATTCCAGACACAAAAGTAACCTATCGAGTCCAATGAAACAAACAAACCATGTTTCACTTTTCATAACTCATTTTAGATTTAGCGGATTTCCCACTTTTCCAATTTCAGGATAGGGTGCATGAATTTAGGTAATTGTCATGTTAGGAGTTTTTACAATTCTACGGTGTGTACACGTTGGTCAAAATCACACATTTCCTTTAAAGTCTGCAGCATTCTCTAGGGCCTTTCCATGAAAGCGATTAAAAACAGGGCGCAGGAATAAGGTCTTGACCAGAGCCGGGCAGCAGCACATGGCACAGGAAAATAACCCCTTTTGAAGAAACGAATTAAACACACGCGAAACCAACAAAAGTCACTGGTTTGACAAAAAATCACATTATCATTTCATCTACAGAAGCATAAGTCCAGATGGAAGCACCATTGGTTTCGTTAGCATTGGTACCAACTGGCCTCGCAGGTACCCTTCGTCACATCGCAACTACCAGCCCATCGAATTACTGAACTAAGCGAGCTCGTGTTCCGATAG